CCCTGCCCCGCCAGCGTGTCGGCCGCCCCACACAGCTGGATGTCGGTGGCAAATGTGCTGAGGGTGCGCTCACTGCCACTGTCCATGTTGCTGATGAAGATGTTAAACGAGACTGATTCCAGGGCTTCCACTTGGACATGGACCCATCGACAGCCACTCTTTGGGTGCGGCCGCCAAGCCAGTTCTTTATCCACCCAATTGTCTTGCTTTCGCCAGCATTTCCTCTGCTGTGAGGTGTCTGTAAAGAATTACAGAGCAAAACAGCTTTAGTGGGCAAACACTGAGCCCCTATAGACCATTTGCCTCCAAGATGAGTCTTTCTTGTAAGAAAGGAGGTGTCAGCAGCTGAGTTACAAATGTGCTCTCAGACCCTGGATTGCCTCCTGCTACCAGACCTGAGCCAGCGTGCCTGTGAAAGGACCATCTGGCCAGCGTGTCCTTCTCTCCCGGCGTGGAAATTGTCACCTTCTGGCTCCAAGTCCATGGTGCACCCAGGCAGCGTTGCTCGGGGCTGGCTGTACTCAGCAGGGTTGAACCCCCCCTCCTTGGAAGTCGGGGTCTGCCAGACAAGCTTTCTGCTCGTCCCGTCTCACAGAAGTGCTGTCAAGTCTCTTTTTCTGGGAGTGGTTGTCATTGACTTGCCCGAGTTTGTACCATCTCTGCCCTTACAGAGGTGATGGCTTTGCTGTGCCAGCACGGGGCAGGGGATGCTTGCAGCAAGCCGCCTGGTTCGGGTTACCCTGTCTGTCCTCTGCGTCTCCGTGCGGTGCTGCTTAAGGTCTTTTTCAAGAGCTGTCAGGTTTTCATCCAGGGGATATTATGGTTTTTTTCCCATCCAAGTGACCCATGGGCCTCCAGCAGCCAGGCTCGTGTTGTGGAGGATGCTGAAATCACTACCCCAGCCTTACTGCTCCGAGCCGACGGATACAAATATCACGAAAGAGCTTTTTATTTATACAGTAATTGCGCGGGGTTTACTTGGCAAATGCCACTGACGGTAATTACCCAGGGCTTGTGTTAACAAACTGTCTCTCCTGCCCACCAGCTGTGGCTGTTAGAGCTACGGAAGGGAAGGATCGATTGGAAAAAAGCTGCCCCCAAGGGATGCCTCGCTCGGCGCTGTGCTGCTGGCTCTGGGATTTATTTTTTATTTTTGCTCTGGCGATGGGGTTGTCCATCACTTTGCTGCGAGATCTCCAGGGCTCGAGCCAGGAGAGCTTCTTCATTGCAGAGAAACTAAAAAAAACACCCAACAAAACCTACTTGTGCGCAACCCTTGAGCTGATCTGGGAGTCCTAGGGAACAGAGCTGGGCTAATGATCTGTGCTTAGAGAGATGAGTTTGCTCTTGAAAGGCCCTGATGGGCCCTCAGGAGAGCTTAAACCTTCCGCTGGCTCCTTGGAAGATGACCTTGAGGAGGTCATTTAACTGATGCACCTACCCTCCATCCCTTACAAACAGAGCTGTCAGGGTGGAAGCTGTCGCGGCGTCAAGTTCCCTGCGTGCAAAATGCGTTTCGAGCAGCAAACAGCGGACTTTAACTAGGGAGCCAATTAATTTGGCTTTTGATTCCTCTAAGAAACACGACTGCCTTCCTCAGGCATTTGCATGCCCGTCACAAATCCCTCTGGAGGATGATTTGCAGGCGGTGTTTGCCCCTTACTGGGAATATTTGGAAGCTCTGCCCTGGCGTGCAGCTGGATCTCACGCCCCACTGGCCAGGGGCTTTGCTGGCCTCCGCTTTATTTTTTTTAATTTTTGTAGATGCCTCCATAAATTGCTCAGCAGATGCTTCTGGATCAGGTGATGGACAGGACTAATCGGCACTTGGGTGACTTGCAAAGCTGGCGGTTTCAAAGCGGTTTTGAGATTTGCTCTTGGCAAATATCGAAGCTCAAAATGAACTTTCTTCGTTAGTCATGCAAATAAAGCGGCGGCTCTCGAGCGCTGGAAGGGAGCGCATGGCGCAGGGCTCAGGCACCTAAAATTAATTTATTCATTTTTAAGGTTTTTCTGCATGTGGAAATGTATTGGGTTCCATCCGATTTCTTCCAAAACCCATTTCCTGAAGGGGATACGTGTCTATGCGTGATCATGGCCAAAAGCTTGGAAATCTTTGCCGTTTCCTAAGACCTTTTACGGCTTTTAATGAGAACGAAGCCACGCGTGATCTGAGATTGAGGAATCTTTTTGCAGTAAACACCCGCTACTGCCCTTTTTACAGGATCTGTGAAAGAAATTCCCAGCCCTCCAATTAACACCTGAGCTGTGAAACATCACTCTCATCTCTGTGACCAGCTGGGCTTTGGCTGGATCCACTCAAAAAAAAGGATGAATTCAGCAAAAAGCTCTTCCTTTCTGGTTTTGGACATTATCAAACATCTTCATCCTGTGGTTGCAAGATGAGAAAGTCAGTAATTGTTGAAAAGGCTATTTCAGGGGGTGTTTTTTTCTTCTTTTTTAATTTTTTTTTTTAATTTGGGTTGTGATCTGGATGCTGTGGTGTCACACCTGGGCTGCTCTTTGCAGTAAGAAGTCATTTTGGACATTCTGGAATAACTATGTAGAAGGCATTTTAAAAAAAATAAAATCAAACTTCAGTTCTTCATCTTTAATAAATGATGAGCGTTGCACAAAAGGAAGGAAAGAGGAATATTTTTGTCCCAAAGCTACGGTGGAGATTCTATATACAAGTTCTGGGACTTTCTTCTTGTGCTACTCCCTTTCCATGCTGAGTACTATGGGATGGCAGGGAGAGCCAGGCTGGAATTTGAGCTGGAATTTGGGAATTTTGAGCTGCTCTGGTGGTTCGGCAGAGCCTTCAGGCTGAAAGACCCTGCTCTTTGTCATCGTAGCAGGACGGGGCTTTGAGCAACCTGGTCTAGTGATCTTTAATGACTCTTGGAACCCAAACCATTCTGTGATTATGGAAAAAAAATAGCGTCTCGGATGCTCTGCCTGCAAGCAACTTAGGTTGGTTAGAAACCAGGCCAAGGGCTTATCTCTTGAGAGAAGAGAAAGGTCCTGTATCTCTTCCTGAAGCATCCAGACCTGGCCCTATTCTGCCCAGAGTCAGGGATGAGTATCGTGGCAGCCTGAGAAATCCAGGATACAGGAGGGAATTGTTGTCCTGACGTGGAAATCTCTTCCCCAGGTCGCGAAACCAGGCTGCCCCTGCGCCTCAAAGGGGAAGGCATCGGACCCCGGCTCTGCTTCAGCTTCGCCGAGCTGGATATCGGGAAAGTTTTTGTTGGATCCACGCACAGCTACGAGGTGAGCGGCAAGGGGTTCGTAGGGCAGCCGTGGACCTCGACATGTGGTGTTTCTGGTAATTCATGCAGGGCATATTTGACATAGGCAAATTTGGGAGGGTTTCACAGAATCTGGATACTTTTTCTGGGGTCTCAAAGGCGTATGTGATGTTCACAAAGCCCTGGTTGTTGCTTTTTGGAGACCTTTGAGATCAACTGGGAAGCTTTGTGCAAAAATATAAACCCATGTGAAAGCAACGCTGGGTCAAAAAGAGGCTTTTTTTCAGCCCTAGTGTGATGCACCTTGATGCTCTGGCTGTTAAAAAGTGGCTGAACTTAAATCTATTAAAAAAAAGTTTTCAGTCGAGCGCATCCTGCTGATTCCTGGGAGTTGGAGCCTCCGGGTTCGGAGCTGTGCCTCTTCAGACTTGGTGCATCTCTGGATCTACGAAGAGAAAAAGCATTGCTGGAAAGGAAGCAAAAGAACTTTCTATATATTTGCCTCCCCCACAATGGTGTCGTCTGCAGAAACAAACAAAAAAATAGAGCAACCAAAAGAGGTAGAAAAATGAGGCAATACATCACGCCAGACACTTTCAAAAGCTTGGCTGTGGCAGGGAAGGACACATTAAGGTGTTTTCTTACCAAAATATTGTACCCTCTATGCATTTTTCGTGCTGATACTTTATTTATTCCCTCTCTCAATTTATTATTTTCGTTACTTGAGAAAACGTGACGAAGCAGGTGATGCTGTTAGTGCTAAGCAGCTCTACCGGAGGGAAACCTCGGTTCAGCACGTTGAACCCCAAGTAGAATTTCTCACTCAAATGTAAAACCCACAAGAGGAGGGAGTTGTTCTCAACTTCACAGCTTCGCTTTGGGGAGGTTTGGTGACTGACAACCTGCTGCTCCTCGCAGGCAGGCCTGGGCATTTCTCGCCCGGCGTGAAAAGAGCCGCCACTCAACAAGTGCCCCGCGGGGTTGTGTCACTTGTTCGAGGCAGCGGAGCTCTCGAGTGTTCGATAAAATGCAGCTTGACTCGAAATTTGCAGTTTAACGATGGGAAAATGTGAGATGATGACTGTATTTAGGAAAGAGAAATCCTTTGGAATAGGGGGAGCTGCCATGTGCTTCATGCTCATCCTTTTACTGACGTGTCTCATTGAGAAAAGAGTAAGGAGTTTATCAGGTTAAAGAAAAAATAAACCCAAATGATATACTTTAGCAGAGCTGAGGAGTGCCTCTGACGTTGCGGGTAGTGCAGCGCTGTGGTGTTTGCTCTGCTCTTGGCAGGACTGGAGCAGAAGCAGTTGTGTGGTGGTTCTCTAATAGTGCTGCAACCGCCTCGCGTCAGTTTTAGAGTCGAGTCTGAGCCATTTCGGTGATGCTGAGCAGTTCCTCTGCTGGAAGAAACCCAGAGTGACTCTGTTTAAGTGAAGTTACCGCTGCTTTGCATGGGGGGAAAAAACCAAACCTAACCAAAAACCAAAATTGAAATTTGTCCTCTTGTATTTTCTTTGATTTCTGCCCAGCAGCAGCAGCAGCACACATTTTCTTCTGCCTTTTACAGATGTTAATTGTTTAATCAGAAGACAAATCAGGCTTCTGTAAGAAGGGAAGGTTCCTTATGTATTTCCATTTCACTTTCTTGCTGCTGCAGGCGGTGCTGCATAACAAAGGAGTCATCGATGCTTCCTTCAGTTTGGTCCCTCCAGCTACACCTCTGGGCTTGTGCTTCACCTTTCTCCCCCAGGAGGGCATCATTTTGCCAGGCGGGCTCCAGGTCATCCGGATCTCCTTCACTTCCACCGTCCTGGGGCAGTTCATGGAAGAATTTAAGTTCAATGTGGAGGGATCGCCTGAGCCTGTGACCTTGACGATCAGGTGAGGAGGAGGGTCCTAGGAGCTTGGTGAGCACATTCTTGGGTAATCGTCTCCCACTTAGCTCATTTTATGATGGAGTGGAGTAAAAAAAAGTTGTCTAAGGTCTTAGTCTTGGGTCTGATCCTAATATCCCCATGCTAAGACCTGCTCCAAAAGGTCCGCGTCTTTCCCATGCCGAGGAGCCCAGAGCTGGCACAGAATTGCAGGTGGGGTCTCCTATGACTGTGCCTCCTATGCTTGTGCTCTCAGTACCCAGTTTAACTTTGCAAGTCTTAGGTCCCTCTGAGAAGCAGCTTGGCCTTTCTGGTTGAGCCAAGGTGATGCTGTGACTTTCCAGGATGCCGTTCGCACGGAATTTGGCAGCAGCAGGTTCCTTTTGTGACCCTTTTTTGTCTCTGTGTGAGGACCCCGTGGCTTGGGGGGCTGGGAAAAAATTGACAGGGGGATGTAAAGGAAATATATGGAGATACCTGCTGCCTGGTCTGGATGCTCAAGAGCTGGAATGACTCCTTCCTACAAGTAGTTCATTCCGCCTTGGGCTGTGGCAGACGGGGTGATGGTACCAACTTGGGGCAGGAGATGGTTTGGGATGTCCCACCTGAACACGCAGCAGCTTTGATGATGGGCCAGCCTGGGTGATGCTACAGCCAGAAGGAGGGTTTTTAAACTCTTCTCTTAATATAATCTACACGAAACGGGTAGCAGCAGCCTCACCATGTCTCACGCTAACGCGTTGGGACAAGCCGTCCTCCCGGCTCTTGTGCAGAACCTCCTTCCCGCGGGCGGAGAAGCGCTGATGCGGGAGACGGGGAAGCTCTGCGGCAAGCACGGGCACAAGGACGTGGACATCATCCCCTGGGCTGGTGCCGCTGCCAGGGATAATCCTCGCTGAGCAACCGGGAGAAGGCGGGGGGGAGTGGCAAAGCTGGCGGCAGGAGAGGCAAAGCTCATTTCTCGGGATCTCAGCAGCGTGGGGTGGGCAGGAGAGGTGATGCTGGGTGCTCTGGAGCTTTGGGGCTGGCCGTGTCTCCCAGGCTGCTGCTGTTGGGAGGCGCTAGATGATGGCAGTAAGGGAATCTGCAGTCGATTTTACCAATAAGGTAATGAAAACGGATAAAAAAAGAACGAGAAGGTTATTACTTTGCGAGAGGAGTGGTGAGTAGGTCTGTTGACCTCAGTGGGAGAATTATGTTGCCTTTGTGTTTGGAGGGAAAGTGCTGCTTTTTTTGGAAATCGAGAGGGAACATTTCACAATCCAAGAATTTATCCCCCTCTGCTCCTCCCCCAAAATTGGTCACGGGATGTGATTGCATAAGCAGCTTTCTCCTTGAGCAAGGGCAGGTTTTGCTTGCGAAGATGCGCTTGTCGCAGGTAGAATGCAGCATCGCTTGGACGGTGCCCGCTGCTGCTGCCCTGCAGTGGCCTTGCTCCTGGGGAAGGAGAGAGTTATCAGCAGAACACTCATCTTTTTGGCTTCCCCACGACCAGATCAGCTGGTTCTTTTTTTCTCCCCACTAACGCTCGCTGTGCTCACCAAGGTTCCCTCTCATAGCGTGGTTTGGGTTGGAAGGAACCTTCAAGATGATCTCGTTCCAACCACCTGCCATGGGGAGGGACACCTCCCACCAGACCAGGGTGCTCAAAGCCCTGTCCAACCCAGCCATGAGCACTTCCATCCAGCCCCCGTTCTCCAGCTCCACCGCTCAAGCTGTTTCCAAACTCCTTGGAGATCTCCACCCAATCTGGGCAAGCCGAGCCTCTCTCCTGGGGAGGTTTTAGGCGCTGGGTTTAATCCTCCATTGAGAAAAGCTCCCAGATCTTCTGAATGGGGGCGAGCTGGCTGGTGGGGACACGGGGCTGCAGAGGAAGGAATGAGGATGGACGTTCAAGTGGTTTCTCTCCCACCTTGCGTTACCCTTCCTGCTCTGCAAAGACCCTGATCTCCCCAAGCACGTTACTTAATGCTGCCATAAACCATGGTTGTTGCCAAAAATGCTGCCTTTCCCCCCTTTTTTCCTGCAAGCTGCACGGTTATCAGCCATGGTGCATGGAGCCTGGGCTTGGCTCCTCGCCTGAGCCTTCTGGGCAAGCGTTCAGGTTTAACTTGCTTGAGCAGAGCTTTGGTGCGCTCAGCAGAAATGGCCGTCGTTTCGCCCCCTTGCCTGGCAAGGCTCATCCTTGGCAGTTTCCCAGTGTGATCCCCAGACATGGGTGGGTTTGGAGGTAGTTTTCCATCATCTCCCGCGAGGTGAATCATTCCTGCCCCGTCCAGAGGAGTCAGTTAGGGCTTGGGAGGTTAATTCTGATTATGTGAGGTCTTTGGAGAAGGAACTGCAGCCGCAAGGATTTGCTCCCTCACTTAGGAACTGTTTCATCCCCGAGAATTGGATTGAAACTCCTGAAAGTCAAGTTTTTGAGTGTTTATTGATTCACGAGATTGGACGATGCCCAAACTACGGGTGATTATTCCCTACTTGGAAACCAACCTTACAAAGCCCTGAATGCTCGTTTCTTTGGCGTTCGGAAAGGGAGGCTGGGCATGGGACAGCACAGATCAACGCAGGTCCCTCCCGCGGGATGCTGGGGACTGTTCCTGTGCCCAACAGACCCTTTATCTGCAGTCCTGCAAATAAAACTAGAAGGCACCGTTTCCCCGGCCCTTCATTTTTAACTAAGAGGCAGAGCTGGCATCGATTGGTGTCAGCCGTGAAATCAATGAAACGAACGTTCTGCAGCTTCAAGGGTTGGTTTTAGTTATTGAGCTCACTTTTGTGTGGATGTCTGTCCATCCCATTATAGATGGGGAAACTGAGGCACAGAGCTGTCACTTGTGCAGGGCCAGCAGTAACGTGGTGCCCAAAGCCAGCAGCTCTGCTTTGCCCGCCTCTTGTCCTCACGGCCACTGCGCTGGACACGAGGGTGAGGGGCTGATGTGAAACCTGCAGGGGTTCCCAGACCAGCTTTTACCTGTCCGAGTCGTAACAAAACCTCTGAAGACTTTCTGATTCTCTTTTAGCAAGCTAATGCCTCCTCTGCCTCTCTCTGTCCTCACAGGGGCTGTGTCATCGGACCAACTTTTCATTTCGACGTGCCTTCCCTCGACTTCGGTGACGTCTCCTTCGGTGAGTGCGCCCTGGGCTTGGACCCCAAACAGAGCTCTTGGACATTGGAGTGTCCGTCACTCGCCTTCCTCCTTCAGGGTGTTGAAACCCAGGGCTGCTGGTTGCTTAGGTGGTGGTGTGCCATCGTGAGACCCAAGAGGAGCAATGGAATAGAAAGTCAGTATTTTCTGGTGTCCCTCCTAGTCTGCTCAGCCTCAACCTCCCGATCCTTGGCAGCAGAATGGCTGAGACAGTTCTTGTCCTGGAAGAGCCCAGGGGTGTGGGTGCAAGAGAAGGGAGCTGAAGCCGCGTACTAGCCTCTAGTAAAGCCTGCTTTGGGTAAATGTTCTTGTTGCATGTACTCACCCCACCTTCAGTGTGAGATGCTAATTAGTGCTGCGATTGCAGCCCCGTGTCACTGCCCAGGCAGTGGCTGCATCTGATGTCCTCAGAGATGTGGGCTCCTTCTCCTTCCCCACCAAAAGCCGGGCTCTGCTGACAGCCTGGCTGCTGAGCATCCAGAGCGTCTCCATTGAAATGCAGATTGCTGGTTCTCACTCTCACAAAAGGCTTTTTTTTTTTTTCCCTGAGATGATCCAACATTTAAATGTGAAATCAATTGTGGATTGATTGAAGGGCCATTATCGTTCTGCACCCAGGATGCCTCTGTGTTTTCATGCTGGTTTTGTGGACTTTTTAAGAAAACTCATTACCTTTCTTGAGCTGCTCCCTCCCCTCCCTACATCCCCGCTCTGCCACTTCTTGATTTCCTTTTGAATAAATAAACCAACAAGAAAGGCACCAGGCAGCGCCATGGTTATGTAACAAGGAGATTCATCCTACTTCATCTGACTTCATTAATAAGGCCTTTTCAGCTGAAGGCAGCTATTGTATTTATTTTTACTTTTTGCTTCTTTTAACTGTGGTCTGCATCTGCCGACTTGAGTCTCGTTTGGGATTGCGGGGTCTTGTGTCCGTCCTTTTTTATATTTTTCTCTGCGCCTCCTGCCTCCTTGCGGGAGGTGGGCGATGGTCAGAGCTGATGGGCACGCAGAAACTACCTAATGTGTCTGGGATTGGCTCTCCTCCCCGTTGGAATTCAACTCACCTTTGATAAGCAGGCCATGGGAGATGGATTTTTCTTGCAGAGCTGGCCAGACGGACACTCCAGAGCAGGTTGTGTGCACAAGGTCCCTGGTTTTCCACTATGGACACCAAGTATAAAAGCTAGAATGAGGTGAACCTTTGGAGGAGGTGTGGGCGTGATGTCCCCACTTGTTGGGTGAAGGTGACAAAGCATCAGGTTTGTCTCCAGCTCTCCAGAGCTGCCATGGGCTCAGCCGTGTTGTCCCAAAACAGGAGACGCTTCAAGGATCCTACCTAAAGAAATTCCGTTAAAGTGCTTTGCATCGTGCCGTAGCTCCCGATTTCATCCTTCCTTTTGTCGTAGCTTCTCGATGACAACATATGCTTTTTATGGTTTTTATTTTTATGCTTTCGCATAAAAAAGCCTGTGGGAATGTTTGCAGGCTTAACAGGGAATCTCATGGATTGAATTTTCAGAATAAATGGGCGATCTGGATGCACGCTCAAGTGAGAAATAACCAGTGCTAGTTTGGGGCGGCTGAGAGAGCTCCTCAAAGAGAGAAAGAAACTTCTGGTGTCCAGCATTGCCAAGGAAGCAATTTCTGTTCTTGGGGGAACTGAAGTGGTGATTAATTCCTCTCTTAGCTTCTTGATTAGCAGTAATTCAGACTGAAAAGAGCTGAATTCCAAGCACAGTTTTATCTGTAACAGGGTATTCCTGGGCTAAACCCATTTTTGTGTCATTTCCTCAGGCTTTCCTCGCACGCTGTCGTGTCGCCTCACCAACACCTCCTTGGTGCCCATGTCCTTCAGGCTTCGCATTCCCGGGGACGGCTCGGGGCAGCCCAGCATTACCGTCTTCACTCGGCTCGTGAGCAGCCCTCGCCCATCCTGGAGAAAGAGAACCCGAGGTTGGGCCGAGCCGACCGAATTTACCATCAGGCCTTGCAGCGGAACCATCCGCTCCCACGGCGTCCTGGATATCCAGGTATGGGAAGAGTCCGGCCGGTTGTGCTTCAGCTGATATATGGGAGGGCTCCTGTACATCTAGATTTGAGCAAGAAAACTACCTGCTTTACTAGCATTAGGCTTTTGTTAGCTGGATTACTCTGGGCTTTCCTAAAGGGGCGCCATTATGTATCCCAAAATCCTAAATTGAAGGTCATGTATGGTACGGTCAAGGACAGAAAGTCATTTGTGTGGTTTTGAGAGCTCCCTAGAGCAGTTTCTATGATTTAAAGTGGGTAGAGGAAGGATGAGGACGGTAGGTGGCTGTTAAAAAGGAGAGATGTCAGCGTATAAAGCGGTTTGTTGTTCTTCCTGGTCTTTTTTCTCCTCTGCTGTTGAGTGGAAGGAGCTGTGTTCGCTGCGGCGATCTCCAGTGAGGACTGAGAAAGCCATGAAGGGCAGAGCGGCTGCTGTTCACCTGCCCTTGGCTTCCCGCTGTAACGCTGAACTCATCTCTTGAAGGCTGCGGGTTTCTTCTGGATTTATGCTGTTGTAGTAAAAATGAGCCCTTTAATTTTAATATAGGGGTGAGCAGAGCGTTAGATGAATTGTGCTTTAATTTGCCTTACGTGTGCCCCGATAACCGCAAGTGTGTTTAGCAAATTGGATATTGTCAGAAGACTTCAGCTGCACGGACCAGCAGAAGAATTAGGGCAAAATCCTCCCTTTTCCGCACGGCGGAACAAGAACCGGAGGACGCCACACGGGAAGGACGGCTTTGGGGAGCCAGCAAGTATCTGCCGCTCTTCTCTTCCAGGTCACCCTGTGTTCCAACACGGTGAGGAGTTACGAGCTGGCACTCGTGGTGGACGTGGATGGTGTCGGCAAGGAGGTGTTGGCGCTGCCCCTCACGGCCAGGTACCGGCGCTTTCCCCACAGCTCAGCGTCTCTCCTCGTGCATCCATCACCAGCGACGCTGCCTCGCACGTAGTTTGCTGGCTCCGGCTCCAAACAAGAAGTGTTGCTTAATGAGCTCCTTCTGCCCAGCTAGCTAGGAGAGCAGCAGGGCTTTGAGAGCAGCCCATGTTGAGGAGCACCTGTGCATGGCCCTGAGCGTTTTTCTAAAGCAATTCTATTCATTATCGGCTTGCTTCTATTCTGCTAACAAATTTCCAAAGGGCCTCCTCTTCTTCCTGGGCTTGTGCCAGCTGAAAGCCGACGTCTGGTTCGGTTAATGAAGGGAAAGGGGCTGGTGAGGGAAAAATTGAGGCAAGATCATGTGAAGGGGAAACCAGTCCTTCCTTGATATGGAAGATGAGCTGGGGTTTCTCTGCTTCCATCTGATTCTTTTGAGCATTCGTGTTCTCAGACTTAAGGCAAAAGTTGTTTGTGCTGCAGCCAGGTTTAATCCTGTTGTGCTGCAGCGGGTGTCAGTTTAATTACAAGAGGGATGCGCTTCGCTGGTGCTGTTCCCTCGCCGGAGCAGTGTCATCCAGCCAGTAATTTAGTAAAACAAGTGAAAATGGGAGCGAAGGACCGAGGCAGCTGTAGGAACTGGGAGAGGGTGATCACCCGCTGCATCAGTGAAGGTGGTGGCTTGTTCTCTCCGTGCTCAGGGCAAATAACGGAGTTTTCAGACAGGGCGCCAGCGGCGTGGGAGAGAAGGCAATCGTTGTTACTGAGACACTGGAGTCTTGTGTTCCTTGTGGCTTGCTGAGTCCTGAGTGGGAAGGCTCCCCTGGAGCTCAAGCCTTGCTGGGACCGTTGGGAGGGTCCTCACAAGCCTCCTGGGGCATAAGTGTCTATCAGACAGCTCTGGGACAGGGCACTTCGCTCCAAAATGCTCGGTCTCTGAAATGCTGAGCCTCTGGGTTTACCCCTTCTTTACAGGAAGCTGTTGAATAAAGTGGAAGTGAAGGGCTGTTTATCGCTGCAAGGGTATAAAATGCCTATTTGGCGGTGACAAATGTGTTACGTTCCATTTCACGCTCTTGGGAAGTAAACAAGTTCTACGTTCTCTCGGGATCCTTCATTCCCTCCTGGCCACCTCTTTGCCCTAGGTGCCTCGTTCCTCCGCTGCGAGCGCTCAACCCCGTCGTGACGTTCGGACGGTGCTTCCTGAAATTGCCTTCTCTGCAGACGCTGACCCTGGTGAACAACAGCGATCTTCCCGGCTGCTACAGCCTGCTCCCTCAGGTTTGGCACCTCCTGCCCTCAGGCGTCATCGGGGGGGTTCGGTAGGGGAAAACAGGGGGTTGGATAAGACCTCCTTGGTTTTCATTTGGATGTGAGGTTGGCTAAAAATAGAAGCTGACTCTAAATGTCAAGAAGCAGTCTATACTCTTCAGGAAGCAGCCTATATTCTAGTTTGGGGGGCTTTCGTGCCGGGTTGTGAAAAGCTGCTGCAAGGAGGATGCTAAGCCCATACGTGCCTTGCGTCTTGTTTTGTGCCTTGCTGCTTTCTCCGAAGGACTCTTGCGAGCCTCCGTCGCGGTGGGTGTTAAGGAGCTCCAAGTTTCTTCAAAGGTCGCTCTGAAGTTGCATTTGATCCCTTACAGAAACACAAGAAGGGTGCTGCTGTGCGGTTCTCCAGCCCCGCGGCGGGCGGCATTGTCCAGCCCCGGAGCTCGGTGGAGTTGCCGTTGTCACTGGAAGCCCAGGTGACGGGACAGCAGGACACGGTTGCTTGTGTCGAAGTGTTTGGGAGTGAAGGATCCCCGCTGGTGAGTTGCTGGGGGACATTGTGCCTTTGTGTTCGCTCTTCTTGGCGGGGCGCGAAGCGTAGCGGGGCAAAGAAGAACTTGTAATAGATGGTGCAGGCAATGGATTTAAGCTTTTCTGCACCTCGGGCCCGTCACACCTGAGAAATATCCATCAGATCTCTTTGCCCAAAGCCCCAGCCAAAGACACACGAGTCTCTGCACTGCTGGGAATGGATGAGACAAAGCTTTCCTGGCCTAAAGCCTCCTAAAAGATGCTGTTTGCATTCAGGCATGCACAACAGCAGCAACGGCAACGTAGGTGAGAGAACGTTCTGTGTGGTGTCCTGGCTTTGTCCAGCTGAAATCAAGAACAAATTTTAGCTGACGAATAATTGGAAACAACATTAACTTTTGAAGCAGCTGTTGTAAAACGCCTCGTCCTCTCTCTGAGCCTGCAAGAGGATGGCAGCAGGTTCCTGTAACAGGGAGGACGGGCTGGCATTTTGAAAAGTAGTTGCAGGGATTTAAACTTGCATTAAAACGAAGGGGAAGGGTGCTGCAGAGTCCCCTGGGTGCCCCCAAACATGTCAGCCCAGGCCGTTGTGGATGTTCACGTAGACCAGTCGATGGGAAGACCAGGGAAGTTTGAGGTTTGACACCCCAATTGATCACCAATACGAGGCATCTTTGCCTGCAAAAGGAGGGTTTCTCCCCACTAGAATTACCAGTTGCTTAACTGTCCACTTACTTTTCAGCTATATTTTCTTGCAAAGCTTTTACCCTCACATTAACAACTTGGTTTCAAACTGTACCTTAATCTTATTTAATTTTTTTTTATTATTTGGACATGAATATATCCATGCTTTTACCCAAAACTCAGCTCAGCTGTCCCGAAAGAAGCAAATAGAAACGAGATTGAGCCAAGCTGCGCACCCCTTTGAGTGGATTTTTAACACCGAGTTTATGCTCGGCCGCTGCCAGCATCCAGCATTACTGGGTCTGTTGGCACAGACACGAGTTTTTGGCTGCAAATCGTACCCGTTACGGATCGTACGATGCAAATCTGACCTTGGGAGTCGCCACGGTGCATTCCAATAAAGCAAAACATGAGCTTGCTCTTGTTACCTTAGCTTATGCCATCTGGCCTCAAGAGCAAGCCTGTACAGCGTTAGGGGAAATATCATCCACATCGTTTTACCCAGGTCGTGTAGGGTCCCTCCATGGCTCTGGTGTTTTGTTTGCGGGTGACTGCGCGTCCGTAAGGACGAGGCACAGCTCTTCCCTCCAGCTCCTCCTTCCCCAGAGCTTTGGGTAGCATCAGCCAGGCTGCAGCTCTCTGCGCCTCCCTTCACCCCAAAGGTTAAAAGATCCATCATCGTACGTGGCTTCAGCTCCTTATTTTGAAGGTACCAGCCTCTGTACGTGATTATTTTTTTTTTTTTTTTAATGTCCTGTCGAGGGATGAACATTTTTGGATGCTGTTTCTTCTGGCTGAGCTGGACTAGTGATTCTGACAGCTGTCAATGCCATTTCCTCGTGTCAGACATCATTAAAGCTTTTTACATCATGGGTTTCTTTTGTGGCTAAATCATGCCCCGTGCCCTCCAGTGAGTCATACAGAGCCTCGGCAGCGTTGGGGAGTTTTATTCAGACCCTGTTTAAGAGTTTTTTGTGTGTCTGGAACCAGTGAATCCAGCTGGACTGGATAAATCCTCCTGGTTTTTAAGTGATGTGAGAAGACCATTTAGCAAAGGGACCCACATTCTTTCTCCAATAGCCTGTGCCACTTCTGCAAGAGAAAACCAAAACAGCGCTTGACCGAGGGAATTTCATTAATGCGTGTTATTCCTATAATACCAGGAATACCCTTAAGCACAAATCAGAGGTGACTAAACTGTACAATCTCTACCTGAAGAGCCGGCTTTGCTGCTGTAACTCGCAGGTCTGGTTTGGGGGATGTTGAAGAAGTTACTGTCCAGATGTGGCTGTGAAGGGGCAGAAGTCAGGGGAGAGAGGTTTGGGCAATAGGAGGTGTGGGCAACATCTGGAAGAAGCGTGAAAAACAAGCCTGGGAACAGAATTTCCTTCTGCCCTGCTGACGGGAGCTTGTGGCTTTCGGGTGGGATCGCTCCAGATCCCACACTTGCTTCAGTCAAGCTTAGAACACCAAAAACTTCAACCAGCCATCGTTATCCCCTAGTCTAGGAGTTACCCTTAGAGCTATGTCGACTTTTTAAAACATTCCTCGTTCTTTTTGATCTTTCCCACCTGCTTGCCGGAGCAGAAAATCCATTTAGTGAGCATCGGAGAAGGACCAGTTGTCTATGTGCATCCGAGCAAGATAAATTTCGGCAATATCCAAGTTCTGCAGGATGCTTCCCAAACTCTCCGCCTCTCCAATCAGACTCTCATCCCTGCGTCCTTCTCAGCGGAGATGGTAAGTGTCTTGGGGGCTGTTTTCCAAGATCAGTAGCAGCCTGTGATTTGGTTGTTACATGCAATGTTTCCGTATCGCCGTCTTGAGAGAAAGCAAAATATTCCATCGCAATGTGGCAAGAGGAGCCTGGCTCTGGGGCCAGTTTTCGCTGGGACACCCCTCAGTCAAACGGAGAATTTGCATAGATATTTGAGCAGAAATTAGCCTGGAGAATTTTTTACAGGTTCTCCCTTTGCAGAAGGCGTTTAGTCATGGGTTTGGAGCTCTGGGACCAGGAGAACCCTGTGGCCCTTTGCTCCTGAAAAGGCACGTCTGCATCTGCTTTGAGTCAAACTGCTGCTAGCGCTAGAGAGCAGGGCGTGAGGTCTGTTCTCAAAGTGCTCACAGTGAGGTGGGTTTCTCAGAATTTTGTTGCACAAAATTCTACTTATGAGGGCCGGGTATGTGTGGAGCCTGTGAACTCCGTGGTGTCACAGAGCCTGGCTGCAGAAAAAAAAAAGCTATTTAGTTGACTGAGCCTGCGTTGTGCACCAAGCTGCCAAGGAGGAGGAGAGCTTGGCCGCTCCGCTTGGCCGAGGAGGAGGGAGCTGAATTTCCCCCTTGCTTGCTTTTCCAGCTGTTTGGGAGGTAATCGTAACCTCCAAGTGGGAAAATTCCCAAGACCTCCACAAACAAAACCTGTTTGCGTCCCTGCAGAGAGCAGGCCACCTCGAGGGGTGGTACAGATGTGTAAACGCTGAGGTTTGCACGTGCCAGGCACTGACCCGCAGAGCTCTTTTGGTTCGGCTTTCGTGGTGTGATGCTTTCCCTCCCCGCTCCCACGGGCAAGGGGGCTTGCAGGATGTAGAATCACAGAATCACAGAATGGTTTGGGTTGGAAGGGACTTGCAAGACCGTCTCGTTCCACCTCCCCATGGGCAGGGACACCTCCAGGTTGCTCAGAGCTCCATCCAGCCTGAGCTTGAACATTTCCAGGGATGAGCCATCCGTTGCTTGTCTGGGCAACCTGTTCCAGTGTCTCACCAGGTAGATCTGCCTAACATATGGGCTTGGGCAACAAATCCCACCCTGCGTCACTGCAATCTCTGCAAATATTCTGCCTAATCAACCACCAGAACAGTCTGCGGTGGTTCAGGGATGTTCCCTGCAGTAAAAATGGGCTCTGCTGACTCCTAGGGTTAGCTTACCCTGGGGTGAGCATCTTGGCTTTTCAGGGCAGCTGCTGCTATCACGAGGACCTTCAAGGAAGCAGATCCTGAGAACCTGCTCCATCAGCTGTTTCCACAAGGGCTCTTCAGCGCCGTGATGCTGAGCCTGCCTGGATGGGAGCAGCACCGCAGCGGGCGAGACGTGCTCGCGCCGCTTCCCTCGCCCTCAGCAGCTGCTGACTTTGGGGCTGTTCTGCTGCCTCAGTGGAAGTTTTGCCCTTTGCTGCAGCCAGGCAGTTTTATCGATGGGAAGGCGAGAGGACCGAATCATTTTTGGAGCTCAAATTTGAGATGTAGTCGGGTGACGGGGTGACCTGTATGTGTAGACCTGATCCAGCTGTCCCTTCGCCTTACTGGTGGGGGTTTTAGGTGTCCTTCCATTGCTCGTACCCTTCAACCCAAGGCTTGTGTTCCCTAAGATGCTAAAGCTGCTGCCTTGATTTCATTACTCGGAGGTTTCTGCAGGAGGGTGAGCTGTGATTTCCGTGTCTCCCAGCTGATGGCTAACCTCAAACCCGTAGCTGTTTGCAGTCAAGATAATAGATTACGGTCCCCGCTTGAAAGAGAAGAGCTATCGATCGAAACTTTCGCAACGGCGGTTGGATCAGCAGCGTTACAGCACGCTGCCTGGCAGCTCAACAAACAGAATGAGATTAAATTCAGGGGCAGAAACAGGGCAAGCAAAAAGGCTGGCGTCTTGTTTGAACCCGAAAAGGAAAATGCTGTAATGCAGATGGCCGTGCTGCTGGAATCCTTAACCATCACCTGCAAGCTGCTGCTCCTGTCAATTCAAGCTTGCTTTATGGCAGAAAGGAGCATTATCTGAACAAGCAGAGATGTTTTGTTGGGGTTTTTTTGTGGACAACTTCACTTTGATTTAGTGGTTTATGGAATTACCTGGACTACCCTTTTCTTCTTCTCTCCCTTGGTTGAGTTGAGTCTGTTCTATGAGTCCCAAAGCTGTGCCCTGAGATGGGTTTTTTTGGGCCTGAAGAGGAGAGTAGGAGCTTCATACCCTGGTACTCTTGTTGGCTTATCCCTGCTTGCCGGGGTATCTGCAGCTCTGTGATCCTTGGAACTAGTGTGTTATTCCATGCTCATCCCTCAAGTTGTGTGGCTGATGTGTTTTTCTTGGCCAGGTTGCTTTCCCAGCTGCCGGGCAGCCCTGGTAGAGCATCCTCTGGATCCAGCAAGCGAAGGGTTTGTCTTTTCCTTGGGTAGAAAAGCCTGGAGGAATAGGTAACCGTGAAGGGGCTGTTGCAGCTTAGCTGGGGGCGATGCGACCTGCTGAAGAAGGCTTTTGCTTCTCCTCCTTGCTGCCCCTGCGATCTTTTCCCGTCTCCTGAAGTGTCTGATTTTTGCCGTATTGACAAGTGCAGAAGAGCTGTCGTTGATTAATGGAAGTGTTTGCTCTCCCTGAGGAAAGGCAGAGAAGAAAAGAAAAAAAAAAAAGGCACCGTTGGTTGATCATTTCCCACTTGTTTGTTGTCACTCTGTCTTCTCGGGGGTCTTTTATTTGGCTGCTGAGAATGACATCTCTCAGCATCACAGAAGGCAGCTGCGTATCGTGCCTGTGTGATCAGGAAAGAGAAGACGGGCCTGGGGTGTGATTTTTGTTAATCAGTGCCAGCTTTCTCCTGCCTGCAGAACCCCCGTGCTGGGTCCGTTCTGTGCCACCGCAGGGAGGCAAGCGGTGCTTTCCCGGTGCCTTCAGATGAGGGAGGAAAGAGAAAAACCTTTTTTTTCAGAGCTTCCTTTCCCAGTGGTGGTGCTCTGCTTCCTAATTTTGGTCTCCTTTCACCCCATCCTTGACATCCCTGGTACGGACTGTGTTCCCCTGATGGAGCTCGCTGCCTGGTTTCCAGCAGTGGGGTCGTGCCGCCAGGTGTGTCATCTTCTTCAGGATTGTCCCCTTCCACCTTCCCAGGGCTGAGATGCCGTCAGATTTGACTGGAGCTGGCCTTGCAGATGAGACCGAGTTTTGCTTATTTAAAAAAAAAATGACAATAATAAAATAAAGCTGTAGCGTTTTGCCTTCTCCCTGGGATTCACTGGAGAAAAGTCATCTGATTTTCAGGCAGTGCATAAAGGCTCTTGGTCAAACGTGGTGGAAGCAAGGAGAGAACATGCAGCCCCCATTTTTATTAGCACGGGGCTTGTTTTCTTTACTGATTTCATTGCTTTTGACGACGTGCCCTTTATTAAAAGAAACGGCCATACGGGGAGACGGCAAAACACGGCGATAAAATTAAAAGCGGTGCCGGTGAAGGGCTGGTTCTTCAGCGGTTCTCTTACTCGTTCGGGATGATGGATGATTTTGTTGTTATCTGAGCAGGCTGCGGGGAGGGAAAGGCTTTGAGGAGCGTGTCGGCATTGTTTTTGTAGCTCTCTCCAACTGTTCTCGCTGTAGTCGGAGCAGCCTTGAATTGGCAAGACGGGTGGATTTTAAATCTAAATTACTTTTTTTCTTCCTTTTTTTTTTCCCCCAAGCATCTGAATAATTAGCCAGCCCGTCAGTGTTTGCTCGTGGTGAGACACAGGCAGGCAGAGCTGTGCCCTTCAAATGATACCTGAGAGCTATTTAGAAATGAGTGTTAGATCAACTGTGGGCAGCCCTGGTCCTCAATACATGGGTTCTCCCAAGGTGAGCACAACTTTGGAAGATGCATGAGTTGTACTCTTTCCAGAGCTGTTCCCCCTGCTCCAAAAGCTCACTTTTAGACTTAGACCAATGGTTTAAGTCTAAAAGGCTGTCCTTTGATGATTTCCACCCAATTTATTCTTGCATGAGCTGGAGGGGGAACCATTTATTGTAGCCAACCCTGCCTGGAAACACACGATATCACTTATTAACAGGGGTCATGGCCAAGTGCATCCAGTCTTGTGATGATGACCAGTTGTACCCAAACCTGATGAAGGTGGAAGGCTGTGTCCCTCCCAGTGTCATGCAGGCTTAGGAGACCTTGGAAAAGATGCCCGAAACCTGGCTGCGGTGGAGAGTTTGGGTATTTTATCACGTCAGATCTCTTTTATGAGATCGTGCCGTTTCGAAATGGCAATTGAAGAAATTATTCTGCTTGTCGAGGGCAACGAAACGCACTGTGTTGTGCTGCACCCAACTGAATGAAAGAAGGGTAGATGACTTCAGAGCGGGTGTGCGCCTACAAGCAAGAGTGACTCGGCTGAACGCTCTGCCCAAAAGAAAAGCAGGAGGGGTTTGGTTCTTAAACGTCGTATTCTGCAGCAGCCCAGTGCCATGCTTGAATTTTGGTTTATTTTTTGCTGGCTCTAGAGGCTCTGCCTCTCGATTTCATAAAACATCCCCTTGACGGTGCTCCAGGAGAGAGGCTAAACCCAAGCGGTCCCCGTGCTTTTGCCCAGGGGATGGTGGTGCGGAGGTGCTGGGAGGAGGTTGGCTGGTGGTGGGAGCATCTAACCAGCCTCACGCTCTGATCTCCACCTCCTCCTGGGGCTCGATGCTCTTGGGAGTTGTTTTCTGCCACTGGCAGCTTGTGCAGATCAAGAGTAGCTTTGAAATGAAGAACGCGGGCGCTGCTGAAAGCCCTGGGATGAGGCTCCAAGCACGACTGATGGAGAATGGGATTTATTTCCCTTTCACGTGCAACCTCTGGGAGGAGTGTTGGGTGTGAATGCTGTCCTAAGAGCTACAGCTGAGTAAAGTACAGCCACGGCTTTACTAGTGAATTCTGCTTCCTCTTGCACAGGAGCGACCAGATCGCTTTAATTAACTGGCTTTGAGTAGCTTCGAGAGAACAGAGTGTGCTGGCTCCTAAGTCGTTCCGTAGGGCGTCCATCCGTCCATCCCTCTCTCAGATGCGTCCTGGTGTCGTTATAACCAAATTTTGGCAGCTCTTATTCGCAATGGAAGTCTGTCCTGGGAGCAGCAAATGACCTGAGCATTGAACTTTGTGATTAAGTGATTGCTCCCAACCCTTGCCTGGCGCTGGGGACTCTGATGTCCGACAGTGCAAGATCCTAGAGGACAGAAATAGCCGCTCTTTGTCGATCCAGCGCACACAGCTGGTGCATCATTTTCCAGAGCATCCAAGGATAACCAAGTCGTAGGGCTGCTACCAGAAGTTCGATCTAGGTCTTCAAAGTGTGTGTGGGATTATTTTATTTTTTTTAAATGTAGCTCCAAGAGATTTCTTCTCTCTGAGGCATAGCCTGGATCGGTGTGGGCAGGAGCTGACCTAGAAACGTGAACGGATCTGGCCCCGCAGAGCTTTTTGATCCTGGCAGGTCTCCTGTTCAGCGACGCGCTGTGCCCTCCCTTGGACCCGCACCAAATGCTAACTGAAAGAATGAGGACGCGACACGAATGCCGCTCCTCTGGAGCGGGCTGTTGGCCTGGCAGGGCACGGTGGCTCTGTGCTGGGTCACCCTGGGAAATTCAGAGCCTGGCTCCATCAAGACAGCCTATCATTATTCCTCGGTAATAGTTTCATGGGTACAATTTACTGCCCGGCTTGTTGCCAAGCTTTGATAAATGAGCTTTGTCAGATAGCAGACTCGCAGATTCACCTCTGGAGCAGAGCTCTCAGGTCTCCTTTTCAAAGCGACCTACCCTGTGTCAGCACGCATCAGAGGAAACGTTGTACGTTCGTGTCAGGGAAAACCAAACACCCACCGGCTCGGGCTGAACGTGTTGGCCAGGTAGCCCTTGGCTGATGGCAACTTGCAGGGACAGCAGAAGAGAGCTGGTGAGATCCTCCGTGGTCAGCAATGCCCCCGTGCCAACCGCTTTCCTCCAGCCCATTCTTGCCTTTTAAGCCTCACTCTTGTAGCTCCAGAGGACAAATTCGATAGAGCCGCGTTCATTAACGTTGCTGGTGTCTGGAATAATGGCGCTGCCTGTGGCGTGCTCTGTCCTGGGATGCAGACACGCCGAGCTCACCTGCTTCCCAGGCAGAAGTTATTGTACCTGGGGCAATTCAGCAAGTTATTGCTTCCCTGGCCTCCAACTAGTCTTACCCTTGTTAGCAGAGGTGGTTTTTAAAATGCTTCCCAAGTGCTGCTTGGTTTTTCTGATGCTCTTCTCCCTTGAGCTGGTCCTGTTAGAGCTCAGGGCTGCCAGCCCTGACGGATGGAAACTCCAGCACTTGCCTGCATCACGTCAGGCCTCCAAGTACATCGTTGCTTTCTATTCAAACAAGGAAAAAACTTCTCTTAAAATACTGCAGAATTTTGGGTGAGTAATGCCTGTCGTCCCCAAGGCAGCAACAGGCTGTGGTGCAGGTACCATGAACACCCTGATGCAAACCTGACCGCTGCTGCTGGGAAGCTGGGAGAGACAAATACCTTCTCTTGGCACGTGTGCTCTGAGACTGGAGGGGGAATAACCTTCTCCTGAGGATGAAAATCCCTTGACTTGGGCAAAACTGGGTTAATGAAGTGAGTTTGTTAAACGAAGGGAAAATACAGGTTGTCTAAGCTCCTGCATGGTTGCTGCTTCCAGATGCTGTAGCTTAGATTTAGTGAAATCAAGCCTTTATGTTTTTTACCCTCATGTCTTTTGTCCATCTTTTCCCTGCGTCCCACAAGAGACCAGGGCTTGTTATTTCCCTCCAGAGTTACATCTGGCTTGTCTTGCAGGCTGGCAAAAACTCGTGCTGGAGGATTGAACCCAGCGAAGGAGTGATCCCCCCCGAGAGCGAGGTGTCCATTGCCATCATAGCACACTTGGATGACACCAACAAATTCAAGGATGAGGTGAACCTCTTCATACGGGACAGCCGTAGCTACGTCATCCCCGTCCAGGCCACCGGCGTCGGCACCACGATTGTCACCGACAAACCTTTCGCTCCGGAGCTCAACTTGGGACACCACTTCAGGTAAGGGATCTCTCGGCTCAAGGTCCTGGCTCTGTTTCGCTGAAGCCACAGGGATTCCTTCAGAAACATTTCACGTCCATTTGGAAGTCGTTAGATACCCTCAGTACCACCAAAATGGAAAAGCAGGTGCTAAATTGTCACTGAATTGTCTTTTTACTTCTAATGCATTTATTTCCTTACTTTATCGACTAAAGATTTGGAGGAAAACAGCAGGTCCTGGAAGTCTCCAGCTGGAAAATGCTACATTACAAGTATAAACATATTTCCCTTTGCAATAACGGTACTTGCTGTGGAGCATCAGCTCGCATCAGCAGAAAACCTCAGCGGTAGCTTGTTAGCAACACCTCGACTAAAGGAACAATGCTTTTTTTTGTTTCCCCGGGAGTCCTGGAGGAGGAGCAGAATTTCTTTACCCTCTATTGTCTTTCAGTTCACTCCTCTTCCACGGTTGCCTTGCCAGGCTGCTCTTTGTGAGAGGTGGTCACTTCTTCCCTTGTTCCTCCTGCTGTTTTCCTCGCTGCAGCGGCAGCCCCAGGCACGGGCAAGCGAGGAAGGGCTGCAGGACCAGGAGAAGTCCGCTGAGGGCTGGGCAGGAGAAATGGAGAGTGATAATTGAAAGAGCTGAGCTCATGGAGGGAGTTCACTGATCCTAACGTGTGTCTGGAACCACCCACGTTCCTATAAATGCTCTTGGAGAGCTCTTGGAATGAGGAGAGCGTTCTCCTCGAGGTGCCTGATCCTTTCTCTGGTTGTGAAGAGGGCCCATACCTGAATTCTGGGGTAGACGGAGCAGGTTTGTCTTAACTTAAGCATTTAGGATAGGTTTTGGAGGCTTAAATCTGTGCCCATGAGCCATCCGTGTAAGCGGGGACGTTGCAGGGGAGGTTGGTGCTTGTCCAGCTTGTCCTCTGCTCTGTGCAGCCACAACGTGATGGAGGGGACGATGACAGAGCGATTTGTGTCATCGTCCTCTGCCCCACTCTTCACATCTTTGCCTGGTGTTGCCGTTGGGACCCAGGTCACGTCTCGGATGAGTTGGGCTTTCCCAGCGCCACAAATCCTGCTGCTCCCCCGAGCTGCTCCAAACTTTCACCTGTTGCTGTCCACAAGATAAAGCACGCTGAGCTTGTTGATTCAATTTTTCAACGGGCTATTTTGAAGACTAGTTTGTTCTATACTGTCCCTTCTGTGTTTGCATTTAGCTGCTTGTACCGTTCAAAAAAAAACCCCAACAATAACTGTTCCAGGAACAATTCATTTCCTGGTTGTGCTCAGATTTATAAAGGGTAGAATAATTACTCCCAACTAGCCTGAAGTTAGTGTTTCTTTACGTGAAGGAGTCAATTTCCATTGAATATTCATTTTGGTTTACATGGAGCTGTAGTTATTCATCTCTTGTCATCGCTCCGTTTTCTCAGCAGCCAGACTCGCTCTTGCTGCCGTGTTTGTATTGGGGGAGAATATTCTGTTGATCCAATTTTCTCGCCGTGCGTTTATCTTCCGAAACGACAAACCCAGCCACGCTGGTCGAGCAAAGGGTGGTGTGTTGGGGGTGTGATGGGTGTCCCAAAGGGGTGGGAGGTGAGGGGGATAACGTGGGTGGCAAGGGCAGGAGCCTGATGGGCAAAGCGACCAATCTACCTACCCTGCAGCTCCCCAACAGCATCTTCAGAGGAAGTTTTCTGAGGCAGGAGCTCCCCAAGGGGAAGGTGGAATGGCAGCAAAGCCATCCCTCTGTCAATTTGCAGTTAAGACCCACAAGACCTGTGGGAAACACCTTGGAAAAACGCTTTAATTACCAAGAGCCAGACACTGATCTTCAGGTTGCTTTTCCAGCTGCTGGACGGTGATAAATTTAGGGGTGACCAAGGTCTGGCTTTTTGTTAAAGCTTTGAGCTAGATCAGCCTTTCCAGAGGTGGTTTTATTGCTGAACGTGCAGCCCGATAACGCGCTGAAGCCGGGTGACGGCTGGGAAATAGCAGCTCCCGTGACGTTTTTCCATCTCTCCTTCTCTTCCAGCCTGGCCCCCTGCCGTTACCAGTTCAAGGTAACAAACAAAGGGCGACGCACCCATCGGCTCTATTGGACCACGGAAGGTTTCTCCCACTTGCGCCAGCACAAACGTCTCCCTCCCGTCGCTAACGCCAAGGGCAGAGATTCCTCCCAGGGCTCCAAACCCGCCTGTCCCGTCTTTAAGCTTCAACCGCCATGGGTAGACCTGATGCCGGGCAAGACAGCAGAGATGATGCTGGAGGGTTTCTCCAGCACTCCCCAGGTGAGATCCCTACCCAGGGCTCAGCCTTCCCCAAGTCCCCAAATCACCTCCACTGGGACTTCTTTGACACCCCAGCAGGCTGTGCTGCCATCC